CTGACTTTATCGATCAGCAAGTTTAAAGTTTCGGTCGTACGTGTTGGCCTTGGGCTGATCGATTTCGTCCCGTCCGCTGCTTGGCCCTCCGTGTGGATTTTGGCCTGGCTCGGCGGCAGTTGGTGTTCTGTTTCGTCCCCATGGTAGAGGATGCTGTTAATCCTGCTCCCTCTTCCGGTGGTTTCGTCACAGCAAAACATGATCTATGATTCCTATCCCGGAATTCTGACTTTTGCAACACATATCGGAAAGACTGGCCACAACTTCGACATTCAAGGAACGAGCATCGTGTAGGCCGATGAGCCTCAAAAGCGGAAAGACTGACGCTTGAGGCATGGTATTCAAACGCCAACTCTGTCAACAGGCATCTGGAGCTGCCCGCGGCCTAGAAAGTTCTACGCCACTACGTAAGAAAAGGACAAGACACGGTCGAACCGAAGTCAGGATTTGCAGACGACGACGGCCCTGTGAAGAAATTACCGGAAAAGGGAGCAGGATTATCAGCACCCTATACCATGGGTACGGAACGGAACACCAACTGCCTTCACGCCAAGCCTAAATCCACACGCATGACCAAACAGCGGGCGGAGAAAAAGCGATCAACCCAAGGCCAACACGTGCAGCCGCAACTTTAAAATTGCTAATCGATAAAGTCAGTATACGCTTCGACAAAGGAGCGCCAACTGTTGTTTATATTTCGAGTTGACGTACGCATTGCTCTGGAATACGTAATCGTTGAAAACACTTGTACTCAGTTCGTGGTAAATTACGTTTTCCTGAGATGTTATGCTTGAAAAAAGTGCATATTTCGATTTTAATAAATTTCTAATTATGAGCATTTCCAAGACCGTGGACTGCCCATTCATAGAGCGCTCTATCTGTTCCTTTACAATTGCTGCTTATAAGGTATACAGCAGGTTCCACACCAACCAGAGAAGTTAACTAGCCCTATATTGCTTCTTCTTACTAACGTATATAAATATAAGATTGAAATACGGGCATCTCAAAATATCTAATTTAGAAGAGAAACGCTTTTTTGGGAAACTTGGATCTTTAAAATATAAATTTTCGAGGCTGGTTCCTCAGCTCGTCGTCCAAATACGGGATATGTACAGGAACATAGATGGATTTTCTGTACAAATTGCAAAAACTTGAAATAGCAGCGAACGAAATAATGATACCATTGGATTTAGCAAGGCAATACACAGAAGAACTACGTAAGTCCTACGACATAGACTTTGCTGTACGTGCCCTGTTTGAACGCTTGCATATATGTCCGGAAACTAATTTTTCGTTCGCACAACAATATATACTATCAACAGATAAAAGGAACCCCGATGGGGTCAGTCTTTTGGGGCTTCTTGGCTGAGTTCACGATGCAAACATTAGAGATTATGGCCCTACCACAAGTTAACCCCAAGTTGTGAGTACGCTATGTCGATGACACGTTTGTTATTGTTAAGAGACCAACTGGTAACACTGCACAAGGTTATTAATCCAAAGATGCCAGGAATCACATTTACGCTCGAAAAAGAAGTTGACAGTTAACTCCAATTCCTTGACGTCCTCGTACTGCGGAATATTAACGGAACGCTTTAAACATACGCGGATGTTATCCTACACTACGAGAACAATCACCCTATTGCTCAAAAGCGAAATACTGTTAACACCCTAATCAATCGAGCAAGAAAGCACTGTTCTGGCCCTGAACTTTGCCAAGCCGAATTCAATTACCTGTCTAAAATGTTTACAAAAATGGTTACCTTAGGGAGTTGTGCGTCAATGCATGAGACGACAGGAGTTAGAACAAAAAGAGAAGGAACTAGATTGTTCCGATCAGGCGCCCAATCCAAGAAGCTAGCGAGTACTTCCACATGTAAAAAACGTGTCTGAATCCGTTAAAAGACACCTGTGGAAGTACCAAATCCAAGTGGCGCACAAACCAACAACTACACTGCGAAATCAGCTTGTCCATTCTAAGGATAGGGTTGGCTATTTAGAAAAAAGTTAGTCGTTTACAACATTTCTTGTGGCGGCTGCAATGCAGTGTATTGTGGATAGACGGATAAATCGGCCTCTACACGCTTGCACAAACACCAACAAGCAGTTAAGAGGCGGGATCACTTGTCCCAAGTCGTCATGCACAAACTCGGCACAAATTTGCATGGAACTAAACTTGCATGGTTGGCTCTTGCCCATCTAGTAAACGCCGTGAGTCTTGAGAGGCCGGTAACTCCAATGATTCGTGCATTAATAGGCACGCCGGGTTAGGTGCTATGTACACCAATCTGTAGGAAGTATGGAAAAGGCGGTAACCAATCCAGACTACATGCCAACCAACAGACACTGCTATTGACCAAACATGACTAGGCATTATCGATTTTTCCGGTATGTTTGAGATTCTCACTGTCCAGTACATCCTGTACGCATCCGACGACGATCTGGTGTGGCAGTTTCAAAAATGCACAATAAAGTTTGTTATCGTTTCCTAAAGAACTTTCCTTACCAAAATAGATGAAATGTATACAGCAGGGAGTCTGGAAACCCTAGAGGCAAGTGTGACGGCAAGTCGAGTTCAAAACTATTTGTTAGGACGGCCGAATCATAACTCGGGCCGTCCTGAGGACACGAGAACAAAGGACTCGAACAGGCTACCGGTGCATGCAGGGCGGGCAAAGAGAGCGACCTTCAAAGGCCGACACCCGAGGACGCAAGAACAGCCGCCGGCCAGGTTCTGAGGTCACGCATGACAAGGGCCCCGAAAGGACACATGCACGTGCGCGCGTCATTGAGGGCGCGACTTGTCATGCTGCGGACACCCCCATGATGGCTGCATGTAGAGGGGCCAGCATGGAACAAAGGCTGTTGGTCCTTAAATACGACGCCGCAAATAGAAGGCGCACTCTGTTGCCGAGACGCGCTACCGACGACCCAACATTCTGCTGCTGGGGACACAAGACAAGCTGCCGAGACGACACCGACGACAGAAGACACATTGCTGACGGACACACAGAAGACAACGCTGATGCACAACCAGAACTAGGAACAATAAAGTACTATCCACTTCTCAAGACGCGAATTGCCGAACAC